AATTACGAAAGTATCGTCAACATACCGAAACCACGTGGATGATTTCAGTGGTGCGTTCCTCAAAACTTCATTCTCAAAATGTTCCATAAAGATGTTTGCAATGATAGGAAATATAGGAGATCCCATCGCCGCTCCAGAGGTTTGTTCGAAAAACTCTCTTTGGAATTGAAAATAAGTTGAAGTTAAGCAGTGTTCTATTAGTGGAAAGAGGTAGGCAGGAATTTCCTCGGAATTCTTGATGATGTTCAAAGTATCCTGGACTGGAACATTAGTAAACAGTGAGACTACATCGAAACTCACTAGGATATCATTAGTATTTACCTTGATTTTTGTGATCTTATTCATGAAATCTTGATATGGGAATCATTGAGACCAGTAAGTTTCTGGAGGGGTTTGATGAGATAGCGGGCTAACTGGTAGGTAGGTCCTCCAATATTGCTGACAATAGGGCGTAAGGGCACTGATTCCTTGTGGATTTTTGGAAGACCGTAGAGTCTAGGTGCTGAAGAATCTTGAAGGGTTAAATACTTGATAGTTTGAAGAGGGAGACCTGCATTTTTCAGAAGAGAAGATGTTTTCTTCTCTATGCTGGATGTTGGGTTGCGTTTGAGTTTCCTGTAGACTTTTTGGTCTGAGAGTAAACTATTGATTTTACTGCAGTAGTCTTCCCTGTTCATAACTACAGTAGCGTTCCCTTTGTCTGCTGTTAAAATTGGATCTTGTTGTTTTGTTTCAGACCGTGGAGAGCTCGGCGTTCTTCTTTGTTTATATTTTATTTGGGAAGTTTGCCTCAATTGAGTGAACAGCTTGTTCGTGAGTAACCCGATCTAGTGTCAGCCACAGCTCAGGCTCCAACGATTTTGCAAGATAGAGATGTAATTTTAATAGTTTTTGGGATATCTCAGCCAAGTTCTTCTTGGTGGCTGAGATTCTGTCTTTGACTAACCTCAACGACGCTTGTCGTAGAATGCCTTTGGCCTGGTTAGAAGATGGAAATGGGTTTTTTAATTGAAAGCATTTCGGTATTACATGATGGTCGCGGCACCGTTTCAGAAATGCTAGGGAGCACAGTTGAACATGCAAGGACTTCCTGAGTTTGGAAAATAAATTTACTGACCCTAGGATAGTCTCTCCGTGCAAGCTTCTAATACTAGATTTGAGGCTTTCATGGTCATTGATACAATGTCCAGGTATAACTTCCGAAATGGAGCCGTGTCTTGAATCAGCGATGTGCCGACGTTTCGCAAACGTTGCAGTTTGCATCACCAGGGCTGAGAACTCTGATACTGAGCTCCCTTGGGTAAAGGTTGTCTTTATATGTCCCCTTCCCTCCCCCCTCCTTTGTGTAGATGATGTTAGGGAGTAGGGGACGAGGCTTGAATCCAGCCAATCAGCGTATTTTAATTGATCAGCTGGTCAATTAAAATCAAGGGAGCTCAGTATCAGAGTTCTCAGCCCTGATGATGCAAACTGCAACGTTTGC